TATTTGGCTGGGTGAGACACGATCCCCATCCTAAAGAAAAGGAGTGTAAGGTGCGTCAGACAGGTAACCGACTGCTGCGTACTGTTTTTATTTGTCTTGTTTGTTTAAGTTGTTATTTGGAAGATTTGTATTTTGTGTGTACTTAGGTATGTTGTTAAAAATTAATATGATTTGGCAGAGATTATTAACCAGGTTCACTGAGCTGCTTGCTTGGCTTTGGGTTTTTGTTTTTTTTTTTTCTTTTCTGTACACAAAAACGAGAAACGAAAGTTTCAGTTTTAAGAATACTTGGTAGGCACCGTTTTGGAGCTGTGGCGATGGTTTGGAATGTTTCAGGTAGTGGACAAGGAAATCTGCTTCGTTGGTGAATCTTCTAGTCTTCCACGGGTGCTTAATTGAAAGTTGTTTTTTTGTTTTGGTTGTTGGGATTTTTGTGTGGGTATGGTATTTCCTTCTATACCAGTTGCCATTTTGCAGATGCTGTTTTTGGGGTGGCTGCCTAACCTGACGTGAAAATCTGTCTTGTATTAACGAAAGTTTGCCATGTTGAAATCCGTTAAGTGTTTTTGCGATTTTACATTGTTTTTAAAGGAAAGTGATGTCTAACTGCTTTGCACTGATTACGTTCTTTACGCAGCCGTTTTTCAGGAAGCCGAAAAAAGACAGATACAAACAAAACAAAAAAGATACCAGAGAAAAAACTTTCCTTCTTCCCCCTTCCTGATGATGAGTGAAGAAGTGTATTGAGAACTTTCAGGGGTACAGTTGCCTTCTAAAACTCCCCTTGCCCCAAATAATGCAGCTGTGTAAGTTGAATGGTAAAGCTGCACCGGTTTGGATTCAGGCAAACCCCAGTCGCTGAGGGTAAGTTTGACTCTTTCTCCTTTCTTTCCATCACTAGGCTAACTTTTCTTTTTTTAAAAAACGTGTCTTCCTTGTATTGTGGCACTTCAGAGAAAAGAGGTAACATGGCGGTTTGTCATAATTCTCACTTAAAATAATGCATCAACAGATCTAGCGAGAGTAAGTATGATTAAAGAAGAGCTTTGGGGATAAAGTTTGACTTGGTTGATGATAGTACCAAGACTTTCTTGGGAATTTTATCCATTTTAGATGACGTCCATTTCTTGCATAGGGTGTCTATATAAGGTATTCAGAGTGTGACTTTTTTGGCTTGTGTGTTTTGGTTTTGGTTGTTGTTGTTTCTTCATTGGCTACTGGCTGGCTTAAGCTTGTTTCGAGGGTTTGGGTGTGCCGGGAATACACAGTGAGGCGTTTTTCCGGGCCCGCGCCCAACAGTATGAAAAGAGACATCGAATTAGGAGTGTTCGTACAGGTAGTGGAAAATAGAGTTTTGAAAGGTAAATTAGGTTCTAGGTGGTAGATGATATTATGTTGAAACGTCAACGGCATCGCTATGAGTGAGGTTCGTCTTTCTGTGACAGAAGTGAAGGGAATGTAATAAGACCAACAGAAATAACAAAAACAATTTGTTCTTTTAGGAGCAATGTGATTCAGAACTAATCGATGTTTGGCATCTTTCTAGGATACTAGTTCTAAAAGGAGCATGGTGAGCAGTTTGAGGGGATGATCAGAACTCATGGTTGTAAACCTTCGCAAAAATTTAGAAGGCAGGTTTTGGACAATAGAGGACATTCTGAGCACAACATTGGCAGAGCACGTTACACCAAGGGACCACCTAAAAATGTCGGAGGGGATAGCGACTACAACTTGTCCATATTGAAAGTAGCCTTTCTGTTAACCGTAGTAATATAACTATCCTGCATCCTCTGTTTCTTTACCCCAGTCTTACCTCCCCTTCTTCCTTTCTCTACTACTTGCTAGAGTCTTTAGCCTCTGAGACTTTTATCGTATTTTTGGGAAATTATCATCTTTCTAATAGGGTTAGAATTTTAGTGAAGAGTAACATCGAGGGCTTTTCAAGATAGCCTTACTGGAAATAAATTTTCCATCCCTGTGGCTTTAGAGTTAGCTATCCAAAAGAGGCAGTGATACACGTCGCGAAGTCCCACTGGTTAGTGAATAGAGAGTCGCTTGGCCTCGTAGGATGCTATTTCTTGCTAGCTAAAGCAAGCCAGAGACCATGGGTGATACAGTGATTAAGCTGTTGCTGGTGGTTCAGTTTGACTCTCTATAAAGGCTATAAGGACGGTCATTCCCTTTAAGCATCTTAAGACAAAAATATTTATCTGTTTAATTGGAATTTACTAACAGAGGGATCCCAGCTGCACTCATGAGAGAATGAGAAATACACCAAAAAAAAAAAAAAAAAAAGCTCATTCAGGAGAGCCTTGTTCTCTTGCTGATAAGAATGGCTAACATTAGTAACATTAGAGCATACAGACTATGTGATTGTATTAGGCATGGAGAGTTAAACAACCTCCGGTCAGCTGCCTGTTTGAATACCACTGACTTGCTAAGAATGATTTCGCTTTTAGATTTTACCCTATTCAAACTTACTAGGTGAGCCTTATATAGCATATATACCTGGGTGCTATTGTGGGGTTTGGGAACATGAGGGGTGGGGTGAACTGTTGTTGTTTTAGGTTTCAGTCAGACAGACATCCCTGTGCCTCAGTTCCCAGAAGCACAGCAGGCCTCTAGGAGCATCCGTGGGAACGGCGCAGTCCTGACATCACCAACTCTCCTGCTCAGGCTCATCCCATATACAGAGGTCAAAGGGTGGGGTTTGAGATTGGGGGAAGGAATGAGAAAGTAGAAGCAATGTCACTTCAGTGCCAGTGTTGACTAGTCTTTGGTGCTTATGTCAGTGTTTGTTTTATTTCCTGATTTTTTAAAGTTGGCAAAACTGCATATTTTTATCTCGATGAAGGCAGTGGGAGGGTGGAACAGAAACAAGCCATTACTGCTATTTCTAGTTCATTACTAGGGACTGTCCCTTAATAGCTAATGTGGAATAAATTTGAAACATAGACCTAGATGACAAAAAGAATGGGAATAGAAATGAATCTCAGGATTTGAACAAACAGAAGATGTTTATGCTGTGTTAATCCCCAGTTCTACAACTGCTATTACATTTGTCATTCTGTCTTCCCTTTTCCCCTAATTATTTTATGTACGTATACAGTTTGAGGAAATGTGCATTTATGGTCAGTCCTTTTTAAAAGACTTAATGACTTTATTACTCTTTTGCAAAAAAATATACCCACTGCTTATATGGGCATACAAATGCTACCCTATTTTAAATGTAGGTGGCGTATGTGTTCGTGTTTTAATGTATTCAGAGCCATTGGGCAATAAGCAGTCCAGAACATTGAAAACTCAAGCAGGTAAAGCACCTAACACCCTTAGTTTCTAGAATTACTTTGAAAAACTTTTATATTGCTGCATCTTCCACAGTTCTTTGGGTAGTCTCTGAACTTAAAATTTGTAGGAATTGTAGACTACCTACTTAAAATTTTAAGTTATGGTATTTGTTCATAGATTGTAGGGGTAGGTAAAGAAGGAAACAGATAAGAAAATGGCTTCTTGAGGTGGCAGCTGCTGAGTGGCTAAATCTTTCCACTTTCTTTCTACTTTTTTTGTAAATTTTCCCAGCTTAGCATGAACATTGATCGTACAGTGTTTTATTTTCTGTGATTGGGATTTTTGTTTTTTATTTTTGAAGCGAAGGTCTTAGAGAAACATTAAAAAGTTGGTGTATATGCAAAATATGAAATGTTAAACAAAGGGATTTTTTTCTATTTAATCTGAATGGTAAGCAAGAACTTTTTCTATATACTCTTCTGCTGCAGCAGAGAACTAAACTGGTAGGTGGCAGCAGAGGAAGGAATTCTTCAGATTGATGGCTACTGACTTAAAGCCTGCATAGGAGAAGAGAGAGAGCATGACATACCAAGTGAAGCAAGGGGGACAAAAATGGAAACAGGACTAAGATTCCTGCATTTTGACTCTAAATGGTAAGTTACCTTTAACTAGGAATGTGTTTTTAGTCTGATAGCCATGTTATATAAATTACATGATTTGGTACTGTGGCATGTAATCATAAATGCCTGTAGGTCCTTGCCTTACATTGAATTTGACCTCACTGGTATACTGTCATTCTTTACTTTGAATAATAACTAATAGTATGTAAAATTAGGATTTTCTTCTCAGTATGTTGGTGTATGTGACCTTTATGGAAAAATTATGCTGACAGTAAATCTGAATTTTTTTAATCTGCAAGATAAATAAAATATGCATTGTTAATCATTTTATACAAATAAAAGGTTCTGGCCACGCACCATGGCTCACGCCTGTAATCCTAACACTTTGGGAGACTGAGGTGAGTGGATCATCTGAGGTCAGGAGTTCAAAACTAACCTGGCCAACATGGAGAAACCCCATATCTACTAAAAATACAAAAATTAGCTGGGCGTGGTGGCAGGCACCTGTAATTCCAGCTACTCGGGAGGCTGAGGTAGAAGAATAGCTTGAAACCCAGGAAGCAGAGGTTGCAGTGAGCGGAGATCACATCACTGCACTCCAGCCTGGGTGACAAGAACAAAACTCCATCTCAAAAGAAATAAATAATAAATAAAAGATTCTTCCCTTTTTAGTGGGAGCTTTGGGAAATAACAAAAGAGTATAATTGGAAAAAAATTACTGGGGGTGGAGTGATCTCTTCCAACTGGCTGTCTCTAGGTCAAGACCCATTTCTTTGTCAATGTGCCATGTTCCACCCTGCCATCAGTTCCACCCTGCCTGTTCGCCTTTCTCTCTTGCTTATCTGGCTTTTCCCCGTTCCTCTCTCTCCCCCTGTCTTTGTGCCTCTCCCTTACCAAGTCTGTTTGTAAGCTGCTTTCTCTCACATTCAGTCCTGAATTTTAATTATCCGATGTTGCCATTTTCCATCTCTGCCTGCCTGTTTTTCCTAAGAGAGTGTATATGTCTGTCTTTCTCTTCCTCCCTCACTCCCTACTTTTCATTTGCATTCTTCATTAGAATTTGACTAGACTGAATAGAAATTAAGTGATACTTTGAAGTTCTCTAGAATTAAAGAATGTAAATTTCAATTAAATTTATAATAAGATGCAGACCTGTTTATTCACCCAACTACTTATTTAACTATAGTATCTGTTGTTTCTGGCAAGATCAGTTGGACAGAAATGAAAGGCATATGGTTCTTATTCTTATTTGCAGCTTTTTTTTTTTTTTTTTTTTCCCTTGAGACGGGGTCTCACTTTTTTTTTTTTTTTTTTTGAGCGACGAGCAGTCGGTCGCTCTTTGCCAGGCTGGAGGTGCAGTGGGCTCGGGATCTCAGGGCTCATTGCAAGTCTCTGCCTCCTGGGTTTATGCCATTCTCCTGCCCTCAGCCCTCTCGCGAGCAGCTGGGAACTACGAGGGCGCTCGCGCCACCTTGGGCTCGGCCTAGTTTTTTGGTATTTTTTTCCAGTAAGACGGCGGGTTTCACATTTAGCCAGGATCGGTCTCGATGCTCCTGGACTCGTGGATCCGCCCGCTCGGTCTTAGTATATACCCCCAAAGTACTGTGGATTATAGCTGAGCCACCGCCCCCCAGCCTGAGATTGGGGTCTCACTCTTTCTCCACTGTACTCGAGCCTAGGTGATAGAACAGTAATTTTGATTACTATATAAAAATGTTAATGCTGTAGAACTGAAAGAAAGTGATAAACTTGAGTTTTAATCTGAATCAAAAATTGTTTTCTTTTTGTAATTTATTGTAAAGTTAACCTGGAACACGAGAGAGCATTTAATTTGAATTTTGTTTGTCTAGGCATATCGGCGCAATAATTTTGTTTTATTTTGTGTATGCTACAAGGAATTTTCATTAGATTTTTTCTCTTGGTACAATTTTTCTGACTAAAATGAAGCATAATTGTCTGTATTACAGGATTGCTAAGGAGTAATAGTATGGATCATCTTCGTGATTTTTTATATGTATAGTATATAATTATAAAAATACATAATTATAAAATATATATTATATAATTATAAAAAATATATTTTTTGTTTTATTTATTTATTTTTTTGAGACAGTCTTGCTCTGTCATCCAGGCTGGAGTGCAGTGGCATGATCTTGTCTAACTGCAACCTCCGCCTCCTGAATAGCTGGGATTACAGGCGCACGCCATCACGCCTGGTTAGTTTTTGTATTTTTACTACAGACGGGGTTTCATCATGTTGGTCAGGCTGGTCTCGAACTTCTGACCTCGCGATCCACCTGCCTCGGCCTCCCAAAGTGCTGGGATTACAGGCATGAGGCCCTGCGCCTGGCACAATTATATTTTTAAAGTTACGAATATTCAGTGTCTGAAATTAGGTTGTTTTGTTTTGTTTTTTGTTTTTTGTAAAATATGTTATTTGTATAGTGCAGTTTAAATTAATTCCTGGGAGGCTGAGCACCATGGCTCTTGTCTGTAATCCCAGCATTTTGAGAGGCCAAGATGGGAGGATCACTTGAGGCCAGCCTAGGTAACAAAGCAAGACCCTGTCTCTAGAAAAAACAAAAAAGAAAACTTTGGGAAAATATATTAACTAAATAAGCTGTCTAAAATCACAAAACTTACAGATTAAAAAAGGAAAAACGTTTTGGCTGTTTTGATGTTAGCATCTTAATTAAGCAGAAAATATTATGGACCTATAAATTGAACTTATGACTATTCACTCACTAGAGAGAACAATTTCCAGGGAGTTAGAATAGTTTTTCCTGAAAGAGAGTCAAATTTGGGAAATAAGATTGTTCTTGTAAAACAGTAATAGGTTTAGCTTTTATTTTTTAATGATAAGAACATTAAATGTCTTCTAAGTCAGAATCATAGTGTACCTTTTTTAGTTGAGCTCACCAAGACAAAGAATGGTAATAACACAAAGCTGGTTGTGATTTTTGGTAGTCTAATCAATTTAGAATGTTTTATTGTCATGTTAGTTGATTTTCTGTCTTTATTTTCTTTTTATTTTTTCTTATCCTGGTTATAGAGACTTTTAATATCTATTATTTAAATAAGTTGTGTTTTTCCCCCTTAGGTTCTTTTGAAGTAACCAGTGGGGTTACTTTTTTGCTTACCCTCATCAACAGAATGGATGAAGATAGATTTGACTATGTGTTTTTTCAAGTGGAGAATGTGAATGTACAGAACAAGAAAGCAATAACTAACCTGTTTGATGCAGTCTGTTTTCTAAATAAAGACACCATGCACTGGAAATAAAATAGCGTGCAGTATGACTTGTTCTTTATATCAGTTCACTTTGGTTCAGATATCTAGACTTGATTTCTAGCTCCACATGTCATTCCCTTTTTTCTACTCTTCGCCTTTTGCTCTTGAGTCCTTTGGTTCTTAACAGGCTGATTTCTATGATACCTTCTAACATGATTACTCCTTTTGGCACATAGGTGAGCACTATTCAGTGGATTTTCCCCTGTCCTTTTTATCACACTTTTATCTGTCCATGCTAAATAGTTGTTACTGTAAGTTTTTAATCTCTGAAGAAATGCAAACTTTTTAAAAATTTCACCCCGAACATCATAGAGTGTACTTACACCTATGTGGTACAGCCTACTATATACACCTAGGCTATATGGTATAGCCTCTACAAGCCTGTACACCCATGTGAATAGCTGTAGACAATTGCAAACGCAATGGCAGCTATTTTTTTCTTTAAATTCAAATGGCCGGGCACAGTAGCTCACCACCTGCAATCCCAACACTTTGGGAGGACTGAGGTGGGCGCAGTCACTTGAGGTCGGGAATTCAAGAACCAGCCCTGGCCTCCATGGAAACTTTGTCTCTACTAAAAATACAAAAGTTCCAGCTACTTGGGAGGCTGAGGCAGAATCCCTTGAGTCTGGGAGGCAGAGGTTGCAGTGAGCCAAGAACACACCACTGCACTCCAGCCTGGGCGACAGAGTGAGACTCCATCACCAAAAAAAATTAACGAGGTGCTGGGCATGGTGGCCCGTGCCTGTAATCCAGCACTTTGGGAGGCCCAGGTGGGCAAATCACTTGAGGTCAAGAGTTCGAGACCAGCCTGACCAACATGGTGAAACTCTATCTCTACTAAAAATTATACAAAAATTAGCCAGCATGGTGGCGCATAATCCCAGCTACTCAGGAGGCTGAGGCAGGAGAATCGTTTGAAAAACTAGCTGGGCACAGTGCCTCATGCCTGTAATGCCAACACTGGTAGGCTGAGGTGGGCGGCTCACTTGAGCCCAGGAGTTCAAGACCAGCCTGGGCAGCATGGTAAAATCCGGCGTCTACAAAAAATGCAAAACATTAGCCAGCATGGTGGTGCACACTTGTCCCAGCTACTCAGGAGACTGAGGTGACAGGATCACCTGAGCCCAGGAGATCGAGGCTGCAGTGAGCCGTGATCATGCCATTGCACTCCAGCCTGGGTAACAGAGTAAGACCCTGTCTCAAAAAAAAAAAAAAACTCTACTTGATGATTATCATTTAACAAGTTTATTGTTAAAGCATGCATGGTAGTGTCACCTTGGATCCTCCAAAAGGCAGACACCAAGGTGGAGTCAGATAAGCTAGAGCTGTATTGAGGGAAATGCCTGTAAGGGATACAAGGAAAAGGGACCAGTAGGCAGGGAAGGCCTTCAGAATGCAATGTGCATATGACAGAAGAGAGAAAAGAACTCAAACCTCAGCTGCTCTGAGAGTCTGCCAGCCTGATGAGAAGTCTCAGAGCAGATGACCTATTAGAGTAGCCTTGGATTGGGCAGAGATGGCCTGACTACCACTCCGGAGCAGCCTGGGGAGAACACATGGGTTTCATGTGAGTGCTGCAACAGATCAGGAGGACTGGCAGCTGGTGGCTGTCAGCCAGATTTGTTACTTGTATCCAGTTTTCTTGAGAACTGAGTGGCACAATTCCACTCCTTAACACTGCACAGATCCACTTTACACCTTTGGGTAGCCCCTCCACAGTTCCATGAGCTTCTGATGTAAACTCCACATTACATCGCATCTTTTCCTGCCGCTGACACCCTCTTACAAAGTTTGTCAGATCATGTGGTCCAATTTGCAGGGCTGCTTGCATCATAGCCTGAATCTTAATTTTCAACAGCCCTTTCTTGCTCTAAGGCCCTACTCAAGCCTACTATTTTTTTCATGTCATTTACTATATGGGTTGGAATAGTCTTTCTAGGTGGAATGTCTTGCTTTCTGAATCTAGAGAACCCCAGAGTTACAGTGCTTGCTTCCTTGTAGCAAGTGATGCAAAACGTAGTAATGTGTCTTTTTACTCTGTAGAGTATTACAGCATGCCCATGACCCCTGGTCTCCTAGAACCCTTAAAGGAATGGCAGATCCTGGCTGGGCGCAGTGGGTCACGCCTGTAATCCCAGCATTTGGGAGGCCGAGGCGGGTGGATCATGAGGTCGGGAGTTTGAGACCAGCTTGGCCAAGATGGTGAAACCCCGTCTCTACTAAAAATACAAAAATTAGCCAGGTGTGGTGGCGCACACCTGTAATCCCAGCTACTTGGGAGGCTGAGGCAGGAGAATTGCTTGAACCCGGGAGGCGGAGGTTGCAGTGAGCTGAGATCGTGCCACTGCACTCCAACCTGGGCAACAAGAGCGAAACTCCATTTAAAAAAAAAAAAAAGAGAAAGAAAGGAATGGCAGATCCCCAGATCTATGTAGGGTTTCTCTCTCAACTGGAACACATAGCAAGGCTTCCAGTGTTCTAGCTACCTTACATTCATTTTGCTTATTTAGCATGATGTCATTGATGTAATGTTCTATGGAATGTCCAGATGGCCCACGTATTAGGCCATTCTTGCATTGCTATAAAGAAATACCTGAGACTGGGTAATTTACAAGAGAAGAGATTTAATTGGCTCCTGTTCCTACAGGAAGCACAGCAGCCATCTGCTTCTGGGGAGGCCTCAGGAAGCTTCCATTTCATGGCAGAAGCCAAAGGAGGAGCAGGTGCATCACATGGTGAAAGCAGGAGCATATGGGGGGAGATGCCACACACATTACCAGATCTCGAGAGAACTCACTGCCATGAAGACAGCAGCAAGCTATGCAGGATCCACCCCTATGGTCCAAACACCTCCCACGAGGCCCCACCTTTACAGCCTGAGATTTGGGCAGAGACAAATATGCAAACAATATCATTCCACCCTAGCCCCTCCCAAATCTCATGTCCTCACATTACAAAGTACAATTATGCTTTCCCAACAGTCCCCCCAAAGTCTTAACTCATTCCAGCATTCACTCAAAAGTTCCAAATTTCAAATCCAAATTTTTATGTGCAAATGAGTTCCTTCTACCTATAAACCTGTAAATTCAAAACAAGTTATTTACTTTGAAGATACAATGGGGGTATGGGTATTGGGTAAACATTTTTGTTCCAAATGGGAGAAACAGGCCAAAAGAAGGGTTACGGAGCCCATGCAAGTTCAAAACCTAGCAGGGCAGTCATTAAATCTTAGACTCCATATTCCATATCCAGGGCACACTGCTGCAAGGGGTGGACTCCCAAGGCCTTGGGCAGCTCCGCCCCTGTGTTTTTGCAGGGTTCACCCCCTCAGGTGCTCTCACAGGTTGTGGAGTGCCTGTGGCCTTTTCAGGCTCAGGGAGCAAGCTGCAGGTGCATCTACCATTCTTGGGTCTGGAGGATGGTGGCCCTCTTCTTACAACTCCACAAGGCAATGCCCCAGAAGGGACTCCATGTGGGGCCCCCAATCCCACATTTCCCCTCTGCACTACCCTAGTAGAGGTTCTCCATGTGGGCTCCACCGCTGCAATAGGTTTCTGCCTGAACATCCAGGCTTTTCCATACATCCTCTGAAACCTAGGCAGAGGCTGCCAAGAACTCACCACTCTTGCACTCTTTGTACTGGCAGGCTTAACACCACATGGAAGCCATTTACAACTTGTATTATCCAAAGTGGTCGCTTAAGCTGTACTTGGGCACCTTTGAACCCTGGCTGGAGCTAGAGCTGCCAAGATGTAGGGAGCAGTGTCCCAAGGCTATGCAGGGCAGTGGAGCTCTGCCCTGCACAGGACAGAAACATGAAATCATTCTTGCCTCCTAGGCCTATGGCCTGTGATAGGAGGAGCTGCTGCATAGGTCTTTGAAATGTATTCAAGACCTTTTTTCAGTCTTGATTGTTAGCACTGGCTCCTTTTTAGTTATGTAAATATCTTTAGCAAGTGGTTGCTCCACAGCCTGCTTGGATTCCTCTTTTGAGAAAGCTTTTTCTTTCTTTGCCACATGGGCAGGCTACAAAATTTCCAAACTTTTATGCTCTGCTTCCCTATTAAATATAAGCTCCAACTTTCTTCCTAATTTCCATTTGAGACTCAGCAGCTTGGATCTTGCTGTCCATATCACTATCAGCATTTTGGTCACAGTCATTGAACCAGTCTCTAAGAAGTTTTAAACCTTCCCTCATCTTCCTGTCTTTTTCTGAGCCTTGTAAACTCTTTCAGCCTCTGCCTATTACCCAGTTCCAAAATGACTTCCACATTTTCAGGTATTTTTATAGTAATTCACCCCGGTGCCAATTTTCTCTTAGATTGCTATATAGAAATGGCTGAGACTGGGTAATTTATAAGAAAAGAGGTTTAATTGGCTCACGTTTCTACAGGCTGTACAGGAAGCATAGCAGCATCTGCTTCTGGGGAGGCCTCAGGAAACTTCCAATCATGGCAGAAGGCAAAGTGGAAGAAGGCACATCACATAGTGAAAGCAGGAACAAAGTCCGGGGGCAGGTGCCACACACTTTTAAATGACTAGATCTCTAGAGAACTCAAAAGACAGTACCAAGCTATGAGAGATTCGCCCCCATGATCCAACTGGCCAGGCCCCATGTTCAGCACTGGGGATTACAATTCAACATGAGATTTGAGTGGGGACAAATATCCAAACTATAATAGCCTATGATTCACATTTTATCATCAAAGGAGCAAATACTATTCTTGCGACAAAATTAAGTAAATATTGTCTGTCCCACATGGATGTGAACTATTTCTAGTCTTTTTCCTGGTAGAGGTAGGGGAAAAAATGCATTTACTAAATCAGTGGCTGTGTATTGTGTACCTCAGACTTAGTACTCCTACTGTGTGCAGTCATTGAGTGAGAGTAAATCAGAAAGCGGCCTCTGTGTGAGAACTGAGGTGGATCCAAAAACAGCAGCTGGCTGGGCATGGTGGCTCACACTTGTAATCCTAGCACTTTGAGAGCC